TTGCTTTGCTTTGCTTTGCTTTGCTTTGCTTTGCTTTGCTTTGCTTTTCAAGAGAGGGTTTCTCTGTGTAGCTCTGGTGTCCTGGAACTCAGAACAGGAATTGTAGACCAGGCTGGCCTTGAACTCACCAAGATCTGCCTGCCTCTGTCTCTTGAGTCCTGAGGTTAAAGACATGTATCACTTCCATTCAGGTAAAGTGAACAGTTTTTACTGATGAAAATAGGAAATTATGGATAGAAGACTGTGCCAGTTAAGTAAGGACGCATGTGGAGACAGACACAACCCAGTACTCAGTGGGGGCACTGACAGCTTTCCCTCTAAGACAAAAATCAAGGATGCTGCTATGGCCACGTCTGCTCAGTAATCCTTCAGGAGCCAGAGACAGAACGATTAGACAACACAAAGAGACAAATGATCGCCAATCAATTGGCTATAAGATGTGCCTGCAGACGACATGAGTTTATTTAGAGAAAATCCTAAAGATTCTACAGAAGTTTCTGGAACTGGTGAGCAAACACATCTAGCTGAGCTGTACTTCCGTAAGCTAATATTGGCCAAAAACAATTAGCTATCCTGTTTTGTCACATGCGTAGAGATGCCAGTAGATGGTGTTACACAGGGCTAGAGGGAACGGGATGAGTTAAAAATGCTTTGAGAATGGACAATGTCGATGGTCATATGACAATATGAATGTGTTTCATGTTGTTTAGTTGCCCACTTCAAAATGCCTCAAGTGGAAAATCCCATATATGCTCCCCCCCCAAAAAAAAGAAAGAAAGGAAGAAAGAAAGAGAGAGAGAGAGAGAGAGAGAGAGAGAGAGAGAGAGAGAGAAAGAACAGGAAAAATAACCTTATGAACGCCACTCTCAGGATATAAAGAATCCAGTCCAGTCTCTGCTATGGATGTTACATCTGTGCATCAAACTCTGGATCAAAACTAAATACAAGTTGTTATAAATGGGAAAGGGCAGTCCCTTCTCCTGTTACTTGTCCCTGCTTCGCGTGGGTGACTGGTGTCCAGGCAGCAGCACTGGGGCTATTTGAATCAGTTATACGTAGAGTATATTTAAGCATATGAAAGATGCATTTATCTCTATGATACACTGCGCCATGTTAACAGGGGACTTGGAGCATCCTGAACACTGGTGGCTCCAGAAATTAGTCCTTATGGATTCTGAAGATTGGCTATATATTTGATCCATAACCTAAGCTCTTAACACTGTTGCAATATCGGTTACTATATTGATGTCTTCTCTCTTTGGAAACTGAGTCTATATCCTGGCCTGTCCTTGCACATGTTTATCCCAGGAATACAAACATGACTCAAGATGGCTGTACCTGAGTAGTACCTGACAATTTTCACCACATAACTTTACTCCATTTTGTACCAATTGCTAAAGAAATGTCCTCACTCTGCAGTAGGATGGGAGGAGGGGTCACTCAGTCACCACGGCCAGGCTGACTGGGAGACTGGTCTGTGAACTGACTGGGTTGGAGACCTCACACCGATACTCTCCAGCATCCTCCTTCCTGACAGGATCTATGCTGAGTTGGCACTTTGACGGAGACAGTGTCATCCTCTCTGTGAGCCGCAGATTCTGGTTGTTGAAGAGCCACTGGGTGGAGATTCCAGTGTCTGCTGAGAAGCAGGTAAGGACCACCGAGCTCTGCACTCTGACTGTGGCATCAGTGACTCGGATGAAGGGCTGTGTCACAGGCTCTGTAAAGCAACAGAGGAGGGGACCAAATGACAGTTGTCCTTCAGAAAGCTCAGCCAGCACCACTGTAGTGATCAGATGCCTAAAAGAGCCTCCAGGGTGGAAACGTTGGAGCTGTGACCACAGACGAATTTCTTCTGCTTTGGATCTGCCACACATGGTCTGTGTGACCCTGATTCAGCCGCTGTGTATCCTAGGTCTTTGTTTTCCTACACTCGTACAGAATGCATGATCACTTCTGTGTTTGTGGGTTATGTGTGCTTAGATATGGGCAATGGCCTGACCTTGGGGTGGAGGACCTGCTCAAATCAGCAGCATCTCTTACCATTTACTCTAGGCTGGACCCCTGAGGGTAAGGAGCTGGCTGGAGAACCATCACCTCTGTCCCTCCCCTAGGGGTCCTGACCTTCCATGAGTCTCCTAAGCCCATCAGAAAAGTTGGCTTCTGTCCTGGCACCTGTCCACTGAGACTCAGGAGAAAGAGGTGCACAGGAGACCTACATGACTGCAGCTGTCATGGTGGTATATAGCTGATCCCAAACTCTGTGGGACTTGGACAGTCAGCCAAGCCTTGTTCTCTGTCAGCTCTGACAGGAAGTTCAATGCTAGCCCTGAGTAGAAGCTCTCTGGGGATAACTAGAGTTGAGTCTGGGACTGAGGTCTGAAACCAAGGCTTCCAGATGTTCAATTCACTGTGATGAAACCATTGTTCTCTCAGCTAGGCCCTGCCTGAGCTCCACAGAATCTTTCTCAGCGCCATGTATATGGTGAGAGCCCCAAGAGTCTGAAACTAACTGTCATCTGTGGGCTGAGTTACCCAGGACACATCCTATTCTGCAGGTGAAGTCAGGTGAGAGATTCCGATCCATTTCAGTACATCTACCCGATGTATGTCCTACACGAAGTTCTCAAACTCCCACACGGAGACACATGAAGAGTGAGGCAGGCATAGTACACACCTGAGAGTCCTGTGTGTGTGGTACGGATTCAACTCCACCAGCACCCAGACATCTCAGAGAATTACTTACGGTATATATGGAGGTGCACGTGTACTCCTTGAGTTTCGAACCGTCTGTTTGAGGTTAGTAAGGTGTATAATCCAGCATCCTTCTGGGTGGCATTGTGGAGCAGAAGAGACCCATTGGGATACACTGTCTCTCTACCACTGTATGCAGGGCCCAGCGTGCTTCTATTACTGGTTATTATGTTCCGTGAAATTTCATGTCTGCTGACAGTGGCTACACCTTTGTACCAGGAAAAGGATCGAAGGTTCTCTGGCATATTATGAGCAAGTAGGAGAAGATCGCTCCCTTCAACAACACTGGGTGGCACTGATTCAATAACGAGCTGGCCAGTGGCGGAAGGGTGAACACAGGCTAAAAGGACGGATAGAAGAGAAGAGAGACAAATCCATCAATATTGAGACCTTTGACTTTGGTGAAAAGATGGGGTCCTGAGACCAGAGAAGCTTATGTCCATCACTCAACAGAGGTGTGTGGGAGTGTCTGCAGAACCCAGAGGGAGTGAACAAATGACCTCCATGCCCTCGGTGCACCTATGTGTCACTTCCTCTGTGTGGAATTCTGTCCTTGTGTGTCTCCACCCTCACTGTCCTCACATGCTTGTTCATGCTCAGAAGATGTAGGGGATGGGAGTAACTTCCCTGACCTCTTCCTCTACAGAGGAAGTCTCACCCCCTGCCCATTTTGACCTGTTCCTTTTCTGGTTCCAATCACTCTCTCACTTCACTTTAAAGTGAGCTTCCTTGTCTGTTTTCCAGTCCACTAGAGCTAGGATCCTGATAGGAAGGACTAGTTTGCCCTTTTTGGAAGGTTCTGTGCCTGGACAGGCTCAGATACAAGTGAGTGGATGATGTCTCAAGGCCTTGCATGTCCAGGTGTTGATGAAATTCTCATATTTGGAACTACTGACTGTGGTTAATGCTCCAGTTAGTTTATGCACGTGTGGGCCGTGGGGGTGGGGTGGTATGTAGGTCTGAGAAGGTTGTGCCAGAGACCTCCAGATCTATAGGGACTAGGGGTTGGGGGTGAGGTGGAAGCCAGGCTACAATTAAGCACATGGCTCCTGGAAATACTTTTCTAGGCAGTGGCTGTGGTCTTCTATCGCCACCTAGTGGTCACTAGGGGAACTGCAGATCATGTCTGGGTGCTGTCCCAGTTCAGCAACTGTTCCCGTTTGCCTGCAGAACAGCATTCAGGAGACCGGACACCAAAGGACAATCACTTACAAGAAGGACTTGTGTCCTTTGTCCCTCCCCTATGGGACCCTTATGTATCTATGAGGTTTCATAAGCCATCAGCACAGAGAATTAGGGGCCTGGGCACCTGTCCAGCTATGCACTCCCTGCTGAGTCTCTGGGGAAGATACCCAGGGGACCTAGCCTAACCGTGGCTCTCATAGCAGTGCACTGGTTGGTTCCACATGCCAATAAAGCCTTGTCTCATGTCAGTTGTAACAGGAAGTCAAAACTAAGCCACGACAAACAGCTCCCTAATGTCGCCTGGAGTTCAGGGCAGAGACAGAGTTTTGGAGCCAGGGCTTCCCGGTGCTGTCTGTGAGGATTCCGTGGCTTCCTCAGCCAGGGCTTGCCTGACCCCCACAGAGTCTTCCTCAGGGCCATGTGCATGGTCAGAGACCCAAGGATCAGGGCTGAGTCTGACATCCTTGACCCGAGTTTACCCAGCACAGGTAAATACAGGGTATTTACTCTCTGCAGGTAAATACAGGGGAGAGGTTCTGATCTAATGCTGTTGGTCCACCCCATGTGTGCCCTGTAGTAAGCATCCAAACCCCAGTGTGAGGACACAGTGCAGTGGGGGGAGAGCAGGCACAGCCCACTGCTCACCGTCCACTTATGAAGTAGGGTAAGTCCCACCCAGCAGCTGGAAGCCATCAAGAGTCACTTACTATTTATCTGGACTTTCACGTGTGCCGTTTCAATTTTGAAATTTCTGTCTATCATCTGTAGTGTGTACACGCCTGAGTCTTTCTCAGTGGCATCCTGGAGCAGCAGGGATCCGTTGGTGTACACTGTCTCTCTTCTGCTGTGTGCAGGCCCCCTGATGACGTAATTAAGGATTCTGCTATACTCTGCTATTTTAAACATCTGGGTGGTATACATGGATCTGAACCAGGAAAACATCCGCAGATTTTCTGGCAGATTGTGAACTTGGAGAAGAACACTTTCCCCTTTAGCAACACTCGGTGGCACTGGATGGATCATGAGTGGGGCAGACTTGAGACCGTCACAGCATGTGAAAAGGGAGGCTGGAAGGGAAAGCAGAAAAGTCATCACATGGAATCATTGTGCTTGGTGGAAAGATGGTGGCCTGCATCCTGAGCAGACTGATTCTTCACTCAACTTAGAGAAGCAGGTGTGGGTATGTCTATCCCAGCTGGTAGAAGTCAGCAATATGACCTCTGTACCCTCCCAGCCCTGCAATGTCATTTCCTCTGCATGGAGTTCTCGTCTCAGATGTCAGCCCCTCACTGTTCTCGATTAGACACTGTGCACACTCATGCTCACATGAGGCTGAGGCTATGCCTTCTCCGAACTTTTTCTCCACAGACACTACACATACGTTCTCTGACATTTTTCTCAGTTTCCTTTGTGGCTCCACTCAACTTTCTGACTTTCCTAAATGTTCTTGCTACTCTGCACTCCAACCCTGATGTCTAGAGATGGGTGAGGGCTGGGAGCTGTCTGATATTCTTGTCAGGCTTAAGTCTTGGAAAAGGATCAGGATCTGAACCAGGCTGGCTGGCTTTATGTCAACTTTGACAGGCTAGAGTAGATTTGAAAGAGGGAGCCTCGGTTTGTAAAATCACCACCATATTGGCCAATGGGCAAGCCCAGAGAACATTTTTAATTGGTTATTGATGGGAGAGGGTTCAGTCCACCAGGGGTCCTGGGTGCTATAAGAAACCAGGCTGAGCAAGCAATGAGGAGCAAGCCCATAAGCAGCACTCCTCCATGGTCTCTGCAACAGTTTCTATATTTTATATATGAAACTCATGTTTGGAGAAAATAACTACCCTAGGTTGATATGGACAGGCAAAACCACTGTTCTCTGTCAGCTCTGAGAGTTGTCAATAGTCTAGCCCTGACAGAACAGAATGTTCCCTTGGGTCGCTAGTAGTTGAGACTCACACAGGTGAGCACAGCCAGGGCTTCCTGGTGCTCACCTCTCTCAGGATGTCATCCTTTCCTCAACCAGCCCCTGCCTGATGCCCACAGGGTCTTTCTTAGGGGAACATAGATTGAGATCCCCATAAAACTGGAAAGTGTCTGACATCTTAGGCTGAGTTCCTTTCCATCCAGGTCTTTCTGGTTGCAGAAGGGAATCAGACAATGGAGTATGATCTACGGCCATTTGTCTCCACTATGTGTGTCTTGCACGAAGTGCTCAAAAAACAACATGAGGACAGTATGCACAGGCCAGAAAGGACAGTCCTGTGTGTCTAAACCCCACAAAGCTCTGACTGATCACAGAGATTCACTTACCATCCACCTGAAGGTGTACATGTGCTACTTTAGTTCTCAGATCTGTACTCAGGGTTCGTAGGGTGTAGAATCCAGTATCATTCCAAGTGACGTTCTGAAGCAGGAGGGATCCATTGCTATACATTGTCTCTCTACCGCTGTGAGCAGGGCCCGGCACACTTGAATTCTTGGCTATTACGTATCGTGCAACCTCAAGGTCCTTGAACAAAATCACTCCTTTGTACCAGAAAATGGCCTGAAGATTCTCTGGAAGGTTGTGAACAAGGAGAAGAGCGCTTGCCCCTTCTGCAACACTGGGCGGCACTGATTCAGCAGTGAGCTGGGCAGAGGTGGGAGGGCGCGCATAGATCAAAAGACAGGCTAGAAGGGAAGAGAGAGACCAATCAATATGGGGACGCTTGTATTAAAGAGACTAGACTGAGTCCCTTTTCT